ATTAGAGCAGAGTATGCAAGGGGAAGAAGAAGGAGAAGAAGGGCAAACATGAGGAAATCAAGAAGGAAGGAGGATACAGTTACACTTGCGCCCGCCAAAAGCGATTGTTACACAAGATTAAGGGCGCGCGCCAATCAGAACCCAGTTCTTCGCGCAACAGGATGTGAGCGAATGAGAAGGGTGGCGCAGCGAAAATTCAAAGTGCCTAAATTCCTAGTCTAAATCCTAATTACAAAACGAAATTATGAAAAGCCCAAAAACAATTTCGCGAGCCCGTGGGGCTCGACATCAGTTGAAAATTCAAAAAAGAAAATGATATTCCTGCGCGAAGATGGCGCTAAAAATTCCAAGTGCTCACAGCAGAACAAGAAAGAAGTCATGGCAACCGTGGTCTATCGCGTTCGCTAAGGCGTGGTTACCCAATCGTCGACGCGGAACCTTCCCGACATCGACCCGACGGATTCTCACAGAAAACAAAAAAAACGAGGGTATCCATGCAACTTGGCCCGACCAACCCATCTTCTCCACAGCTCACCCATCCGACCCGTCTCATTTCCCCAAGGCCGCTTCACGCAGAAAGTCGCGCAATTACAAAAAATGGTTTGTCACATATGTGACGCCCAGGGGGTTCCAATCTCGAGCAAGCTCCCGCTTGCTCACTCACTTCATGTGTGGATCCACAACTCGATGATCGACGTGGAGCTCACACGTGCCACTTACCGTAGGGTCTGAGTGTGGAAGTCATCCGACGTGGCATGCGTGCGCTCAATCCAAAACGTTGCCCGGGAAAGGTAGTCTAATTACGGATGGGGGAGGTGGTGGATAGTCTTGGGGGAGAGGAGGCATGAAGCGGTAAATTTCCTCATCGCTGGAGGGAAGTGGGACGTAATGGATAGAGCGATGGATACGGGGAAAGCGAGGGTGCCGACGTTGATGAGGGAGAGAGGCGAGGAAGTCAGGGTAGAGTATGCAGAGGGTGCGGCAGATGGCAGCGCGAAAATCGTCATATTCCTCGCACGCGGGGATCGTGCCCGCGATGACGCAATACACCTCCAGATTATTATACTCCTGCCAATCCACGCTAAAAAGAAGGACATGGAGGGGGAAAGAAGGGACGAGCGAGCGAGTAGTAGTATGCGGGAAGATGGTGGCCAGAAGGCGGCCGGCATAACCGTGATAGAAGAGGGAGAGTGGGAACGGTTGCCACCCATCGGGAAAGGGGGGTCGTCCTGGGAGCTGTCGGAGGTGAGAAAGTCACGGGGACGACGGGATAACGACCGGGGATGAAGCCCGAGCGCCCGCATCTCGACGTAGACGAAGGGCTGCGGGGAAAACTGGGGAGGATTGGGAGGGCAATTCACTTCGTCGCCGGTGTTGGCTTCTTGATCCCTCTGCGGCGGCGCCTCCATCCCTTTCTTCTTCTTCCCGCAGCGGTCTTGGATTGCGCGCCGGATCGCCCTGCAACAGTTGCGGTGGTGGCCCTCCATATTCTTCGATCGGCTGCTTTCCTTCTGCTGCTCCCCGTTTGCTCTGTGCCACGACCTCTCATTCTTCCCTGCTCAGTTCGTCGGGACCACTCGACTCACCTGATCCACCTTCTTCTTCCTCCGACTTCGCTCGTCTCGAACCGACTTCTTCCGACTCGGCTTCCTCTGATTCTTGATAATCGGGATCGTCTAATTCAGCCTCCGATTCCTCCTCTTCTTGCGTCTCCTCTCCTTTCGTACGCTGAAGACGATCGCCCCCCTCGATTTTCTCTTCTTCCTCCTCTTCGGCTTCCTCGCTGGTTTCTCCTATAGGAGTGCGTCGGATGAGTGGGTCCCACGTGGAAAGATCAGTGACGTTGACACGAGCGAACCGATCACGAATGGATCATCCATTCAAAGTCGGTGACGATGTGCTCGTCGACGCACGCCACTTACAGCTCGAAGCAGATACGCTTCGCAAGTTCAGGCGTCGTTTCTTCGGTCCATGCCGCATCCTTCAGGCCGTCGGTTCTGATACTGCCGCTAGTCCGGTCAGCTTCCGTGTGAAGCTACCTGATTATCTTCGACAGGCTCGCGTACACGATGTTTACCACGTCTCCTTGCTGCGTCCTTATCGCAGACCGTCCGAGCGCTTCACCGGACGTCCTTATGAGCGCCCTCCACCTATCATGGTGGACGGTCACGAGGAGTTCGTTGTTTCCGACATCATATCACGCCGAGTTACCGACGATACCCCTCCACGCATCAAGTACCTTGTGCGTTGGAAGGGCTACCCCGATAAGGAGGGTACTTGGGAGCCCCTCGAGCACTTGCAGCACGCCAGAATTGTTGGTGCGTGCATATGATCGTGCTCGTCGTGCTGAGACATCTGCTTCTACTCAGCCGACTGACCCTCTTCCTCCTCCTCCGGCTGAGGAGATTGCTGACGAGCCCGCTCCCTCTGAGGCCGTTCCTCAGCCGCAGACGGTCGCCTTCGAGCGTCCACAGCGCACTCATCGTCGCCCTTCACGTTACGATGACTGACACTCTTATCCTCTATCTTTCCCAACTGACTCACACCATCAGGTACTCCATCATCATCTCTTCTTCAGGATGTCAGCGTTTTGCGGCTCTGCTTCGACATCGACTCCACTGCTACTTCGTCGACGTCATCGACCACTTCGACGACTTCAGCTACTTTGGACGTGACTACTTCACGTCACCACCCTACCCTGTGTACTCCCTTGCCTATGTCGCATGATGGTTCTCACTTAGCTGGGTCTCTTTGAGTTTGGCTCTCCCTTGATATCGCATAGGCATTGAGACCGTAGCGTTATCTTGGTTTCCTTGCTCCCAGATCTCGCTCCCTCTTCCAGTCGGTGAGTTGTGTGCATGTTTCCCTCACCCACTGCCCTCATCACCCTAGCGTCGGCTATTGCATGCCTCCAGTTGGGCATAGCTCCACCCTATTCCAGGCTCCCCTTTTCATGGTCGACCCTGCATGGTGTCACCCTTTTGTCGAGCATCACCTGCCTTGATGGTCTATCTGTTAGGGTTATTGGTTTTGTTTCGCTACCACTCTCCCACCTTGAGCCTGATGACCTATCCCACCTTCATGTGTGACTTGCCTATGGGTCAAGCTCGGAGGGCGGACGTGATCACGGCCGCCGCGACTTTCAGGAATTTTTTGTGACCTTAAAAATTTATAAACAAACAAACAAAACATATGGGGTAGTAGATCTTTTCGATATCTACATTGCGCAATTTTGTATTTTATTTTTTGACTTTGTCTTCGAATTTAAAAAATTCAAAAACTAATTTTCCTGAGGCAAAAGCTGTTTGTTTTTTTTTTCCAAAAAAAAAACATGAAACGTATGTGATTTTTTATTTTAAATT